CCTTCTCCGTTCTTCGTGCCACTGAGTTGTGCTTCTCCGACTATTACTAGGGTTTCATCTCTGGATTCAAGACCCTCTGACGAGTTCTCCAACTCCGGCGATAACTCTAGACATGTATCGGTGGTGGAAGCTCCGACATGTAGCAGTGGTGGGATCGCAGACAGAAGGATGAAAACATGGAGCAATAGTGGAATCACTATTAAACCCTCTTTCCAATGATGTACCTTTCAAAATCTCGATACACTTGAGTCAATCCAAACCTCAATTTCTATGCAAACCGTCTTATTGCAGTGAAATTATGGAACCCCTAAATGGAATATGGTTTAGACTGAATACAATCACAATAAATCGAGAAAAAATTGAAAACCCAGATGGTCAGTTTTTCGGCGCGATCCATCGACAGCAAAACCTCATCGGGGGTTGTTGTCTTCGATCCATCGACAACAGTGAGCATGAGAAGCATTTGGATGATTCTTCTTCAATAGGAGGGGTTGCAGTCGAGAGAGAGAGAAAAAAAAAACGTATGGGTGGGTGGGGGATAATATATTTCTTTTCTTTTTATTTTTAAGACAAAATGGTATTAGAATAATTGTAAAAAATAAAAAAAAAGAAATTAAAAGGGTATAATCGTCTTTTCAAGTTTTTTTGGACTAAAAACTCAGAAAAACCTTGATTTTGGACCTTCTGTGCAAGCTGAAAACATTTTGGACCCCATCCAAAGATTTTTGCAAACCACAAGGACTAAATTTGCAGTTTTTGTCTTTGATTTATTGCCTTTTCAAAAACCCAATAAGCCAATAAACTGTTTTGAAAACCAATCTCAAATACCCCTTAAGTATCAACTTGCTTTTCAAAAGATTTTTCTAGTAACTTTCTTTTACTAATTACCATGTTTTGAAAATCGGACCGGACCGGCCGGTTCGACCGGTTCCGGTCCCGGATCCGGTTCTTAAATGCCAAAAACTGGTATTCATGTGAACCGGTGAAAACCGGTAAAAACAAGTCCGGCTGAACCGGTAAAACCGGTCAAAACCGGAAATTTAAAAAAATATTTATTTTTTTCATTTTTTGTATTTTTTTTATATAATTAAATACAATTATGACATCATCCGGTTTTTCCGGTTTTTAAGACCGGTCCGACCGCTTGGACCACCTGAACCATCGAACCGGTAAAACGACTGGTTCGGTCTCCGGTCCGGTTTTCAAAACCTTGACTAATTAAGTCATCAATATTTTACTTTTTCATTCCAACTTTTACTTTTTCACTCCCAACTCTTTGATAACTATAAATATATACAAAAGGTAAATTATCTTTGCTCTCTATAAATTACTTAGCTAAAAGTATAGTTTTTAATGCATATTGTACAATCCCTTCTTCCTCTATACAAGTAAGGGGTCGTTTGATAGTTGCTAACTGGGTTAGAGTTAACTGGGTAAAAGCTGACTGAGTTTGAAGTTCTGACTGAGTTAACTTCTGACTGAAACTTGTTGTTTGATTCTACATCTGACTGACTGTGCTAAATGACTGTATTACCCTCAAACAATATTTTTTATAATAATTCCTTTATGATGCACCATTTAATTTATAACATTGCATTTTTTCTATAAAACATTCAACATGAGTAAAAAATTAAAAAAAAAATTAAAGATATATAACTTTTGTATGGACTATTGGCTTGATATACACATGCAATTTTATAATTGATCGAATGATTTCACCACAACAATTTTCCCAGATCTGTACATAAAGGATAATTTCATCCATTTTAGAATAACAAAAACACAACTATTCTATCACATATATATATATAATGAGAATACGTATGTAGTTGTGCAAATATGTAATTTAGAAAAAGTAAAAGTATAATGACGATAAAGTATTCAAACCATTAAAATATATATTAGACGGTTGAAAACTTTAGTGGACCAATAATTCATACCACATTCTAAAAAAGTCTTTACTTTAATGCACAAGAGAATTACATAGACAAAAATAACAAAAAGTAAATAAATCAAAAACAAAAAACATGAAGGGAATCACTCATTGTCTGGGATCAACACAACCGAACCCGTTGGTTTTCAACTCTCAAGAGCAATGTGAGATTGGGTTGCTTGAGACAGAGGATACTTGTGATTAACATGAACCTTCAATACTCCCTTTTTAACATTAGAATACAAGGTTTCAGCAGCTATAAGCAGATGCTCTCGACTCGATTACCTCCGATGTATCCGACTCTAAAGCATGACATGCATGAATGCAAAAATCAAAATGGTTTCAGATTTTACTGAGGATTACATAGCCTAAATATGACATAAAGAGGCAGTAATGATCCCATAGTACATGAATATCAAAATTGGCCATAAGTTATGCAAGGACTCAATTGGAAATTATCTGTACAATGCATCCAACTAACCAATTGGAATATATTTGCACAATACTGACTTTGAAATTATCTATACAATTCATCCAACTCATCAATACATCAATACTCTTGAGTATTCTCTGTCCGACTAGTCTTTTACTTCACAATAGGTAAGAAGTCAAAATCTTATACAAATTTCATGAATCTCGAATAATGCAAAGTTTATGAAACCCTTTACTAAAATATGTTATGTTAATAGAAAAGAAGCATACCAAGAAGAATGTATATGAGAAATAACTAAAAAGGAAAGCAACCCTCTTGATATTCGACCTCCATTGATAGTACTTGTTCATGGATATGTGTCCAATTTCAGAAGAAAAAAAACAGAAAAAGCTTGATTTCATGTCCGATTTCAGATCATACAAGTGCAGCAAGATGCTAATTTCATATATGATTTCTTGTCAGATTTCATTATCATCTAATCTCAGAAAAAACTAAAAAAAAAAGAACGCAACTTACTATCGAGATGCAGAGGCTGGAAATCCGGCGATGATGGAGGGCATACAGAGCAAACTGATAGAAGAGGACGATGGAGGGTAGAGGCTTGGCAATTTTCCCTTTGAGCGATGAGAGACAGAGGAAGAGGATGGAGCAAAATGGAGGCGTGTTTTTTTCTAAGGGTTAGAAGCGGGATAAAGCATTAAATCTTCCGGTCAGCCTCTTTTTTATCAAGGACCGAATCAGACATTTACTCACCGAATCAATATATTGGACCGGGTCAGATATAATTTTCCCTTTATCAAACAAGCTAACTTTCCTTTTTCATTTTCATTACATGGGTTTTACTATTTTGCGCACACCAATAAAATTAAATATCTTTAAATGTTAAATTCCAATTTTCTGATTGAATTTATAGTTACGAAGATAGCCCTTATCTTTTTCTTATTTATACATTAATCATCTAAGTTTATTCTTTTTTTTATAGAAGCCACCCTATGCTTACTTTCTTTTAAAATTTTAGTGCTTTTAACTTTAGTTTTTGTTTTATTTATAATTTATTTATTACATTTTTCATGTAAATGTTAATTGATTATTTTATTTGTTTGTCCGAACACTCATCTTTTTAACATATTTCAACCATTTTTTCCAAGCTTTTCATAAAAAAAATTGAAACACATTTGCTTCAAAACAATTAATGTTATATGGGTTATTCTTCCATTTGTAAATATCTTATGAAGTGGCTTTTCAAATTATCATATACGTATGACAATGCAAAAAAAAATTGTGGTGCTTTAATCAATTCTCATTCTTAATGCGCGGGCTTGCAACTTTCAAGTTGTGAGTGGTTTTACCGTAGCTAACTACACAAATTCATAAGCACAATGTACAAGCATGTTAATGTGTGGAGTTCACGTTTAATCGCTCAACTTTGTATAATCCATCACTTGCAACCATTTATTTTGTAAAATGATATTTTTCATCCCTTTAATTTTTAAAATATCACTTTCACCCTTTCCACCTTCAACTTTATAAAATATTACTTTCGCCCCTTCATTTTTTAAATTTTCATGTTTATCTCCCGTCCCCGTAGTTATTATAATAATCAATATATACAAAATGTAGATCTTCGTTTTACACACAACATTAATGTAGTTAATAGTACAACTAACTAATGTACAATGTAAAAGTATATCAATGCGTTAAAGTGCAACTTCAATCCATCAACTTTGTATAATTCATCACTTGCAACCCCTATATTCTGTAAAATGATATTTTTCACGCCTTTACTTTTTAAAATATTACTTTGATTCCTTCAACCTTTAACTTTGTAAGATGTTACTGTTACTCATT